AGTTTTTAAGGTTGGTTAGCATGAGGATACCCATAGGGGTAGTATCTAAAATATTATTCAATTAAGAGGGAGTGTTGCTTTTGGTAACTTGTTTTTTTTTTTTAATTATTATTTTTATTGTTATTTCATTTTTATTGAAAGAAGAAATAAAAATATGATTGGATGTTTGGTGAGTATTTTATATTCATGGTTCTCTCACCTATTGAAAATTTTAAAATGGTCATTTTTTAAAAGTACACGGACCAGAATGAACCAAATTTGAAAGTACAAGGACCTAAACAGTGTTAATTAAAATTTTATAGTTTTTTAAATAAAATTTTTATATTATAATTAAAAAAAATACTTATTATGTATTTTACACGTAAAACATGATAAAATAATGCTTTTATTTATGTATTTGAATAAATGAAAATGAAAGCAAGAAATTAAGGTCTCATTTCTATTTTTGAACATTTAATTTATAATTGCTACTTCCATGTATGTATTTCTCTATTTTGTTGTTATTATGTTATAAAAATGTTTTCAAAATTTAAGCTAAATTTTAAAAACTAAAAACCATAACTTTTAAAGTTGTTTTTTAAATTGGACTAAAAATCTAAATTTATTGTAAGGGCGAAAAATCGGGAGAAAATAAACATAAATTTGAAAAAGAAAACATGAAAGTCCAAATTGCAGCCAAATGTGCCTAATTTCTATTGTTTCCAAAATGTAAACACAATTTTGATAAAATTTATTAAAAATGAGAAATGAGAATTAAAAGCAAAAATAAAATTTAAATATTATTTTGATTCTTATACTTCCGACTTTGGTTTATTTTATTTCATGTATTCTCAACGTGTTTATTTTGATCCACATACTATTTTTATTTATTTCAATTTCAATACTTTAAAAACATCTGTTTTGATCTCTATATTCACAAAATATATAAAAAATAAAAATAGAAAATTTATAAATTAAATGAAGTAAAACTAAAAATATAGAGTTAGAAAATAGCATTTGGTAAAAAAAATTTCTTTTTTTTTTTAAACTAAAAAACTGTGTACCTCAGTCTCCAGAGCAAAAAGTGAGTTTTTGAGCTTTTCCATAGTGTCAGCTTTGAGTCTTCTAAGCCCCCTTCGCCACTCGTCCTNAATTGAAAACCTTTGCAATAATAATAATAATAATAATGATAATAATAAAGGTTATTGTAGGCCATACCCGGTGAAAAAAGCCCTGTTTTTCCGCCTTCATTTTCCTGATACATCCAATGAATGCAATCAACCCATTTTTTAAGATGAAAGTGACCAAGAAAAATTTACAATGTAATTTAATTTACTTTCATTATAGAGTATGTCTAGAGGTTAAATTAACAAAATTTCATTCTGAGTTTGAGTTGAGTAAGAAATAGAAGAGAAATTGGGGGAAGAATTAGAAATTTTTTTTAATTAAGCTAATGGGCACCTAATTTTTAAATTCACCGGCCAAATTTGTGGAGATGAAAAATGTAGATAAAATTAAAAATTTTTTAGAGATGAAATTGAAATAACACTCGAGCTAAAACATATATTTAACCCAAAAGAAAACCAGGCGGTGTAGTTTAGCTCTTCTAGTCAAATTATTTTTCGATAACCATTTTGTTTTTTATTATTTTTTTTAAAGTAAACTTGTAGACATTACTTTTGTCCTATATTTTTTCATCTGCTTTTTAAAAATATTTTCAAAAACTAAATTAAATTTGACAAATAAAAAAAAAAAGCAATTTCTGTTCTTTAAAATTTAGTTTAAGAATTCAAATATCTTTTTGAACAAATAAAAAGAATTGTGAGCAAACGAGTACAATTTCCAAAAATAAAAACTATAAAGGAAATGATTATCAAAAGACCTCATTTCTACGTTTCAAAAACCCATATTTTTTTACAACCCGTTTCTCTTTATTCGAAAATCTACCCAATTTTTTCTAGATTAACCAACTCAAACTCTAGTATAATCAACCACCACTGCATCTAAGCAATACACATGTCGCATAAAAAAAGAAGAAGTTAATATTCGATAATAAAATAACATGAATGTTTTGAGAGATTTAAAATTTAATATACACCAAATTAAAATTAAATTTAAAAAATGATATTAAAATGGTAATTTAACGTTTTGACTCATTAAAATCTATGTGAATAATTAGAATTACCATGCGAACATCAGTATCTTCACATCAGTATGCTCCACTCCCAGACCTCTACAAAGTTCCTCAATTCCATCCGGGCTGCCCCAAGAAAATAAAAGTAAGGTTAAATTGCTAATTTTATACTTTAAAACGTGTTTAATAGAGTTTTAAAATTTTAATTTCATGTCTATGTCATAAGCGTCCAAACTCTCAATTTTGTATCTAATAGGTTCTCGGTCTATTTGACATTTTTAATAATCAATAGATTTATTAGTCATAAAATTGAATTTCTAAACTTTCAATTTTGTATTTAATAAAAATCCATAAAGTTAAGAGAAGTCAAATAGATCGACCACTATTGAACATAACAAAAAAAACACATAAAATTGAAAGTTTAACTACTCATTGGACGTACTTATTACGAAATTTATAATTCAACTAGACAATAATAAGTAAATTAAAACTTGATTATGATGATAAGTAAATTAATTAAGGTGGAGACAAATGTACGTACCCAATGACATCCGAATCTGAGTATAAATTAAAAAGTCGATCGATCCGTCTCAACTCCCTCCACAAGGCTTTAGCCATAGGCGAGGATGAAGAACTTGGTAACGATGCAGCTGCCAAAAATAATCACACAGTACTGATTTAATTAATATCAAAACTAAAAAACTTGATCTAAAAAATTACCCAGGAGAAAGAACAAGATTTGGAGTGCAAGAAAAGGGAAAGATGGAATCTTTGAGTGTAGAAGATTTTGTTTTGTTGATTTTCTGGGCATCCAAACAGAATTAGGAACAAGTAATTAAGAGAGGAAATGGGAATTAATTAAGTATTAAGTACCGTGGGTTAATCGAGTGGGAGGCCTCATAACTGTCGTGATTAACCCAACAAACCTAAAAACCAGAGAAAGAAAAGAGAAGATGAACACCCAAGAAACTCATACGCAAGAAACTTTGTGCTCTCTGTGTGTGTTATTATTGTTTGGGTTTTTATAGTCATCGGCTGACACGGTATATGATATACCTTAATCTACAAAAACAAAAAAAAAAAAACCCTTAGGTTAATTTAAATGTCACCAACATGTCCAAAGCTAAGCAATAATTTTAGCTCCCACTGGATAACCACTAATTTTTTGTTTTCGGGTAGAATCAAATATTGTCTCCACCGTCATTCAAAAATTGATAACTTATTAATTTTTTTGAAAACACTTGGCTTGACCTCGGTATACTCACTACATTTGACAACTGAGGAAGAAAAATGCAAAAACAAAGAATTTTCTTTTAATATAACGAGTAGCCAATTTTATAATAGTGGTGTGTGTGAAGACAGCTCACTAAAAATAAATGACGTGGCTTGCATTTGTGGATTTATTAGTTTAGTCTTGTGGAATATTTTGTTGTTATTAGATCGTTAGTCTGTTTTTGGATTTCTATATTTAGTTTTCAATTCATATAAAATTTATATATTCAGGAGTTTTTATGCCTCTCTTGCCTCTTTATATAAAGGCTTTCCTGTACGTTGTTAATATATGAATGAGAAGATCAAATGGATTTTCTCCTAATTTTTAAAACTCAATATTTAGTCCTTGTAATTATTATTTTTTTAAAATTGTATTTTTCTCTTTTAGTTGTCAAATATTTATAAAGGTAGTCTTCAAGGAGATAAATATTTTATTTTGAAAATTATATTTGTTTAATTACAAATTTTTTGGTACATTTTCACCCTTTTTTAGGAACACTTCTAAACCATTTACCGAATTTAAAAAACAAAAATAAGTTTTTTGAAAATTACTTTGTGTTTTTTTTTAATATAGTTTTCAAATTTTGGATTAGTTTTAAAAAATAATTTTAAGAAAGCAGATGCAGACTAGAGTGGTTATTAAACGAAGTCTTGATTCTTTAATATATAGTTATTTTTTAATTTCGATTTTTCATAATATTTTATTTAAATTATTTAGATTTAGAATAACCAAACTTTTCCTTCGCATTGTCAACCTATTGTTTATGACGGGCCCAGTCTATATTCGGCCGAAGAAGGAGGTCAGGGCGTGATGGGGTGGGCCTAGCCCATTGAACATGGGCTAGAAAGGCCGACACCCAGGCCCATTCCCCTCGTCCTCGCTGACGCCGTTAACTCGGCACGGCTACCGTGAAGAAAATAGACGGCACTCGGGAGCGCGAGAGTATAATACAGAAACTAATCGCGCCACCGCCGAAGTCTAGGGTTTCTTGCTGCATCGTGTTCCTTTTTTCGGCCGTCTCCTTGTTTCAAAATGGTGAGTTTTCTTCCTCCGTTGCGGTTTGTTTCTTCTATTTCTAGATCTTAAGTTCCTTGTTTCTCTTGTTGTGATGTGCAGCCGTCGCACAAAACCTTCATTATCAAGAAAAAGCTGGCCAAGAAGATGAGGCAGAACAGGCCCATTCCTCACTGGATTCGATTGAGAACTGACAACACCATAAGGTTTTCCCCGGACTTTTACCGATTTCGTCCATGATTTTTAGTGATTTCACGGATCAGAGTTCTCATTTGGCCTTTTTGTTCGTTTGGCTCAGGTATAATGCCAAGCGTAGGCACTGGCGACGCACGAAGCTCGGTTTCTAATGCGGAAGAAACGATAATTTTTTTTCCTTCTTGGTCAAGTTTTTCAGTAGATCTTTCCGAGACTTCAAATTGTTAGGTTCATTGGAGCAACTTTGATGAGATTGTTAATTTACAATGTATATTATCATTCAGATAGTAGTGTGATTAATTTTCTCATCAGTCGGATTTGGCCCATGTCTCTGTCACATATTTTTTCCTTCGTTTTGTTTTTTTCTGTTGAAGAACTCACTGCGATGAGATATTTGGTAACTGAGAAACATTGCAACAGTACATGGATCAATCTTTTCAATTGTGTTGTTATAAGAAAGGCATGTTAAAGCAAGCAAGCTCCAAGGAGAAAAATGATGGTCATCTAGTTGTGCTTCATTGCTGTTCATAATGCTTTGATTTTGCAGAGTTGGGATTTTCAAGGTCCTAAAATCTGGTGAATTACAAGCATGATGCTCTATTTGTATTACAATCTAAGGTTATTTGTGACAATTCAAATCTCTTCAACAAAAAAAAAAAAAATCCATTATTTCTAAGTTTTAGCAAAAATCATGCACATGTTCTTTTTTATAGTAGAAATGCCAAATTGCGACCTTGCAAGTATGATGAGTATACATAAAAATGCTACACAAATAGTTAAATTTAATAATAGTAACCCAAGTTGAAGTAAAAAAATATCATACAATAATATTTGTATCTTGTGTAACAAATGAAATAAATCTAATCTGAAACATAAAGTTAGATTTGATCTTATAACAAACTTTTTTTCACATTGATTTAATAATCTATGCATTTATTTTTGTCATTATTTATAACTAACCAATACTTTTCGACAAAATACCAATCTCAAAACTTAACTTCGAGATGGCAGAAGATGAGTCTCTCCTAATCCACATCAAATTTTTATCATGAAATTTAGAACACGATAATATCAAATAAATAAAAACACAAAAAAAAAAAAAGAAAAAAAAGAGACGGTTGTTATATTTCTTTTACCCTAATTATAACATGAAACAGATAATAGTGATGCAAAAACATTAGGACCATGAAGAAAGCCAGGTCAGCAAACAAAATCTTAGATGCTCCATCGGCCACATCCTAACCTGTTACTGGAACAGCCCGTAGGCTCTGGGAAGCCACAGAAAGTGGTAACAACCTCTCCTCCAAAGTGGCTGCAACTGGCTCTGCAGGTCAACTCCTCCAGGAATCCGCGGGCCATTATGGCGTCTCTCTCCATTTACTATATAAGAAACCAGACTTCTCAAGTTCAGATGTTGCCATCTCCATCTGCATGAAATAGCCTCTTTTTTCCTTTCCCATTCTTTTTTCATCTTCCTTTCCCTCTCTCTGGGCTATAACGAGTCAATTTTAGAGGGAAAGGGCTGATTAGAGGAAGGAAAAAGAAGTAATTTCAAGTGTTTTTGGACAATTTCTTCTTCGTTTTGGTTGTTTTTTGGTCAGCCATGGGTGACATATCATTGGAGGATGTCAAGAATGAGAATGTTGATCTTGTAAGGATAAAAAGAAAATCAAAAATCAATTCTTTTTGCTGCCTTCTCTGTTCTGGGGCTTATTTTTTTTGGTTGTTGTAGGAACGGATTCCTGTTGAGGAAGTTTTTGAGCAACTAAAATGTACGAAAGAAGGATTGACTACTGCAGAAGGAGAGAAAAGACTTCAAATATTTGGCCCTAACAAGCTTGAAGAGAAAAAAGAGAGCAAAGTTTTGAAATTTTTGGGGTTTATGTGGAACCCTCTCTCTTGGGTCATGGAATGTGCAGCAATCATGGCCATTGTTCTGGCTAATGGAGGGGTAATTGCAGATCTTACATAAATAAATTATTCTTCATTCTCTCATACACACAAACTTAGACATGATTCTGGTCTAAAATGCAGGGAAAACCACCTGATTGGCAAGACTTTGTTGGTATTATGGTTCTCCTGATCATCAACTCCACCATCAGTTTCATTGAAGAGAACAATGCTGGAAATGCAGCTGCTGCTCTGATGGCTGGTCTTGCCCCCAAAACAAAGGTATTTTTGTATTCCTTCAGATCAAGAGTTCATGTGTTTGGACTCTGTAATATCATTTTCTCTTGATAACATTTATGGGGTCTTGTGCTAATTTCCGGACCCACAAGTGAAGTGAGCTTTAGGGGGTTTAGTTTAGTGGTGATTTAACAGTAAATAGGTCATTTGAGGGGTCAATGAAAATGTAGTTTTTCCAAAATGTGTAGGTTCTAAGGGATGGAAAGTGGAAAGAAGAAGAGGCAGCAATTCTGGTTCCAGGAGATGTGATCAGTGTCAAATTGGGAGATATTATCCCGGCTGATGCCCGTCTCTTAGAAGGCGATCCTCTAAAGATTGATCAGTCTGCTCTTACTGGTGAATCTTTGCCTGTAACTAAGTATCCTGGTGATGAAGTGTTCTCTGGTTCTACCTGCAAGCAAGGTGAGATTGAGGCTGTTGTCATTGCAACTGGTGTCCATACCTTCTTTGGGAAGGCAGCTCATCTTGTGGAGAGCACCAACCAAGTTGGCCACTTCCAGAAGGTAAAGCCAACTTCTTCCCTTCTCTGCATAAACAAGTTTTGGGGATTCGTTACAAGATTTATGGTTGTAACGTTGGTTTTATTCATTGATCAGGTGTTGACGGCCATCGGAAACTTCTGTATATGCTCGATTGCAGTTGGGATGATTATTGAGATCTTAGTAATGTATCCAATCCAGCACAGGGCGTACAGAGAGGGAATTGACAACCTGTTGGTGCTTCTCATTGGAGGTATCCCTATTGCCATGCCGACAGTTCTTTCAGTGACCATGGCCATCGGATCACATCGCCTCTCGCAGCAAGGCGCCATTACCAAGAGGATGACAGCAATTGAGGAGATGGCTGGGATGGATGTCCTCTGCAGTGACAAGACTGGAACTCTCACCCTCAACAAACTCACAGTAGACAAGTCCCTTGTTGAGGTCAAGCTCTCACAATTACAATTCAAACTGGGAATTCAACCCGACTACATTTTGTTATGGCTCATCATGGTTGCCTTTATGACTATTGTAGGTGTTTGTACCTGGCATGGATAAGGACGCTGTTATGCTGTTTGCTGCAAGAGCTTCCAGAGTTGAAAATCAAGATGCTATTGATGCCTGCATTGTTGGAATGTTGGGCGACCCAAAAGAGGTTTGAAACTCAGCATTTTTGTATTCATGGCTTCTATTACTTTAGAGGTGAACTTTGTCTCTCATACTTTATTTTGGGTTCTTCAAGGCAAGGGCAGGAATCACTGAGGTACATTTCCTGCCCTTCAATCCAGTTGATAAGCGGACTGCCATTACCTACATCGACAGAGACGGTAACTGGCACCGAAGTAGCAAGGGTGCTCCTGAACAGGTGGTGTTGTTTTCTAATAGCCAATGTTGCTTACCTTGAATTACATTTGTTTCATATGCCTAACTCTGAAAGTTTGGTTTTAGATAATTGACCTTTGTGAGCTTAAAGGAGAAGTAAGAAATAAGGCTCATGCAATTATTGATAACTATGCCAATCGCGGTCTTCGTTCCTTGGCAGTCTCTCGACAGGTGAATGCGTTTAAATATATACATGAAACATATTCATTAATTCATATAATGGATAAGCTTGCTAAGTAATCTTAAACCTGGTTTCCCCTCTCATTTACAGACTGTTAAAGACAAGGACAAAGAGAGTGCTGGAGAGCCATGGGAATTTGTTGGCCTCCTGCCCCTATTTGATCCTCCTAGGCATGATAGTGCAGAGACCATCCGTCGAGCTCTCGAACTTGGTGTTAATGTTAAGATGATCACTGGTGACCAACTTGCAATAGGAAAAGAAACTGGTCGGAGGCTTGGCATGGGCACCAACATGTATCCATCATCATCTTTGCTCGGCCAATGCAAGGACGAGTCGATTGCTTCCATTCCTGTTGATGAACTCATTGAGAAGGCTGATGGGTTTGCTGGTGTCTTCCCTGGTAATGATATTATTCTCTCAACTAACAGTGAGAAATATGAAACCATCTTGCTTCATCAAGTAAACTAGTCTTTTTTGGATTGTAGAACACAAGTATGAGATTGTCAAGAAACTTCAGGAGAGGAACCACATTTGTGGCATGACAGGAGATGGTGTCAATGATGCTCCTGCTCTGAAGAGGGCCGACATCGGTATTGCCGTGGCTGATGCAACCGATGCGGCAAGGAGTGCATCCGACATTGTCTTGACAGAGCCAGGGCTGAGTGTCATTATAAGTGCTGTGTTAACCAGCAGGGCCATCTTTCAGAGAATGAAGAACTACACCATCTATGCAGTTTCCATCACAATCCGTATCGTGTTGGGATTCATGCTCGTCGCTCTCATCTGGAAGTTTGATTTCTCGCCTTTTATGGTCCTGATCATTGCCATCCTGAACGATGGAACCATCATGACCATCTCAAAGGACAAGGTGAAGCCATCTCCTGTGCCAGACTCATGGAAACTCAATGAAATCTTTGCTACCGGTGTCGTCCTCGGAACATACATGGCCCTCATGACCGTGGCTTTCTTCTGGCTTGCAAACGAAACCCACTTCTTCGAGGTGAGAAAAACAACATCAAAACTTTCATCCCTACAAAAATGACAATGTATCTTGACATGTCAACATTTATATCCAGATCACTTTTGGAGTAAAGCCACTCGAAGATCTTGCTGAGATCAACTCTGCTCTCTATCTTCAAGTGAGCATCATCAGCCAGGCTCTCATCTTTGTCACGAGGTCAAGAAGTTGGTCCTTTGTCGAATGCCCTGGTATCTTGCTCATCATCGCCTTCATTGCCGCACAGCTGGTGAGAACATTTCTTCTTGGTCCTCTTTCAAACCTCTTCAAATTGCATCAAAGTCCTCATTTTGCATTCTGTTTCCCTTCAGGTTGCCACATTAATTGCTGTATATTCTGAATGGGACTTTGCAAGGATTAAAGGCATCGGGTGGGGATGGGCAGGAGCCATCTGGGTATTCAGCATTGTTACTTACTTCCCACTTGATGTTCTCAAATTCATAATCCGCTATGCCCTCAGCGGCAAGGCCTGGGACAACATGCTTGACAACAAGGTCATACTGTAATCTATCGGCTTAAGTTTTTGAGTTGAATTTACACGTTCTCATACTTAAAGATTTTCTCAACGATTTTCTATAGACTGCGTTTACGACCAAGAAGGATTACGGAATAGGCGAAAGGGAGGCGCAGTGGGCAACGGCTCAACGCACAATGCACGGGCTGCAGCCTCCGGAGACCATATTTCACGACAAGAGCAGCTACGAGGATCTATCAGAGATTGCAGAGCAGGCCAAGAAAAGAGCTGAAGTTGCCAGGTAAATTCAAAAACCAAAGCCAAGTTTTAAATGTGGACATGAAGAATGCTTGAGAAAATTTTGAGTTGTTCAATGTTGAATGGTGCAGGCTGAGGGAACTTCATACTTTGAAGGGCCATGTGGAATCAGTGGTGAAGTTGAAGGGATTGGACATTGAAACTATCCAACAACACTACACTGTATAATCTGCAATGGAGAAGACAACATATGGCTGACGTTCAAGTTTCAAAGTTTCAACTAAAACGAAGAAGGAAAAAAAAAGAGAAGAAAAATTTATAGATGGGGAAATGGACTCTGATTCTTTTTTCTTCTTTTGTAACAGAAATTCTTTTCATTGGAGGGGAAAAATGTGTAATTCAGACAGGAGTCTAAAAACGAAGAAACAAAAATGTGGAATATTTGAGAGAAATTCAAAGGAATGCTAATGGAATATATTATAGACGTATGTGTTATGGTGTATTTTAGTACAACAATGTGGGATTGAACCCACGACTGACATGCCCTAACCAATTGAGCTACGTTCAGGTTGGCGTTGTAATTCTTCGTTTCAGTTATTTTACTTTTAGTTTTCTGTTTCGAAAATGTTTCATTACCTATTTCAGGCATGAAATTAGACTAAGTGAATAGTATATACCTTTTGCCAATCAAACATAGGCAAATTCTATGTATATATTTTTTTGTTTTTTGTTTTTTTAGTAGATCAAATGAGATAGGGAATTCGAATTCATGATCTCTTGGTCAAACATAGATATCAATTACTGTTGAGATAAGCTTATATTGGCAGATAAATTTCATATTATTTAGCTGGGGCATGAGATAAATAATTTTCTAATTTGTACCTTAAAAAAAATATATGAAAGAAAAGCAGAAAAATTATATTATTTGTAGCTCTTGTCTCCTATCCAATTAAATTAATTCTTGGTTACGTCAAATTAAAGTTGAGTAACTTTAGTTCAAAGGAAAAAATAAAAACTTCAGAGATATAAAATTTTATGTATTTTGAAGTATGGATGTGAACACATCTATCCAAACATTATGAAATCTATTAAAAGTTGTTTAAAGTTTTAACAGCCAAATTTGGATGTAATATTGAAAAGATTAATTTACCAGTCTAGTTGATCAACTATCCTAATAAGTCTCAAACATCAATTTTGTGTGTCTGGGGAAGAGAATACCCTGGACACGTGGAGGATCCCTATTGGTGCTCCAAGATGACTCATGAGTCATGCCCAGCTCGGACCGCCGAGATCACCACCACTAGCGTTGACAGATGCTAAGTATGAGGGCCGAGGTGAACCTGGCCGAGGTCCGACCTACCGGGAAGCTCGGTAGGGGCCGATSTGAGCTACTGTCAGCGGCGTGATTATCGGGTGYAACCGTCGGTCCCGAGATTACCGGGTGTAACCGACGGTCC